TCGGCGACAGACGTGTTGTCCGAACGTCAATGCCGGACTCGTCATTTCAGCGCTTCCAAGAGACGCGGTGTTGATGAGTTTGAAGATTGAAAACGCGGGAATCCGCCTCAAATTGTCGACAACGATGAGTTGAAGAACGCTATCGAATCGGATCGGCGCCAAACAACTCGAGAGCTTGGTAGCAGAGCTGTTTCGACTGCGACCATACAAACCATACCTCCGCCATTTGCACGCATTTGGTAAGACGAATCGGTGTGGAAAATGGGTGCCAAAGATCAGCTCAGCGACGCAAACAAAGCGGCTCGAGCTACAATGGCTGGAATTCTCGACTCTATTAAGGCTGCGGCAGCCGAAAAGTAGATATGTTACGACAACACAACAAGAAAACGGCAGTGGTTGGACGCCGGCAGGAACCGCCAAAACCGACTCCCAAACCCGAATAATATCCAGAAAAAAAGGTGATGCTTTGTATTTGGTGGAATTTTAAAGGTCCCTGTGTATTTTGAGTAAAAAGGCTGGATTCGCTTTTGGGCCAAAAGAGTCACGGCGGATCTCTACAAAACCCAATGGAGCCGTGCGTGGACCAGGCATTGCGTCGTCAAGGCAAGCTAACACAGCGATTACAAAATTAGCTTCGCGCATAACGCTCGACCCCACACCGCAAAGACCACTCAGCAGAAAATCGAGGAATTGGCTAGGAAGTTCTGCCTCATCCGGCCATATAGCCCGGACTGGCCCTCATCCGACTACCACTTGTTCGTTCGATGCAGCACTCTTTAGCAGAAAAAATTCAAAAACCGCGAAGAAGTTGAAATCTGGGTCGTCCAATCCCTTCTTCGAGTCGAAGCTGTTCCCGAAGTTCTTCGAAAAGGGCATCCATCCTCTTCGTGGAAGAGTGGTAAAGAGACTTGATAATGATGAAGCGAATATCTTTTGGATTGAGGTTCTGTATTAGGGATTTATAATAAATTTTGTTTATGGTTCCAACGGAAGTTTCATCTGCACCATCCCAATATTTGCGTCCTACAATGCGAGTCTATCATAGCTTTGGTAAGTCCCCATTTCTAATACATGGCATTAATCTGTGCTTTCTTTAGAGGCAATGGCAAAAATGTGGCAGGTCCGCTCGTCCTTGCCCAGTCAAATCATGGATGCTCTCTAGTCAACCAGGCATTTTCTATATAAAAATTTTCATACATTTTTGAAAAAGTGACGTTGTAAGATCTTTACTCGTTACTGTAGTTCAAAGTAATTCTACTTTTTGCAAACAAGAGTCCTTTTTCCGAATCGACCATAAACTTTTATTGACATTAAATCATTGCAACTAATAGGCAGTTCCTGATAACAGATTTTTTCAACAAGCTTTGACTATTTCTTAATCGCTTGTTATTTATTACTTTTTATGCTGACAAATACGTTCTAATAACTTGATATAACGTGTTGTTTTGAAAACGACTTAATTTACCTGTCTCGATATAACGATTTCAAGTGCCCGAACGAATCGTTACATCGAGGGTCGGCTGTACTTTTGTAAGCTTTTAAATTGAATGAGTTTAAAGTTTCAAATTTTATTAATCATCAATAATCGACTTAAATCTTAATATCTTATAATCTTCGTGATACGTAGCATTGAGGAGATTTCGTTTGTTGAGTGTTGAGCAGCTCCTTTCGGAACAGATCTTTCTCTTCAACCGTATTGCTTTGATGTCTGGTGCTCGATCGAACTAAATGTCGAAGCGCCTGAAAGAATTATTTCAACAGATTCATCCAAGAGCACTACTCGTTTTCGAAATCGACCGTAACCTCGGCTCTGATTATCTATAATTTATCTACTTTTAATCATCTACCAATCTACCTAAGCTTGATCTAATTTGAATAAATACTAGTAGTGACTCGTTTCGTTTTTTCGTTTGAATAATAACTAGTGGCAAGAACACGGTAGTTTTCAAAGTTGACACTTTTAGAAAGCGCTTTCCTCACCTCGTCGCAACGTTCCGTGGAATTCGAGCTTTTCGGAAAAAGCCGTATAAATCCTCTTCTCATTTGTCGTTCATTATGTGAATACCTGATTATGTAAAAGCTTTCGGGTTCTGATCGAGATCACAAAATCCAAATCATTTACATTTGAGAGTTGTATTAAAAATTACCTTGTTTGCGGAAGCGCATGAAAGTAGAGTCCACTATAGTCTGGGGGAGTAAGATCGTCATTTTCTTTCACTTTGAGGGCTGGGTTTTGGTTTTGTTCTTTAAGATGTTGTAAAACCCAGGCAGCGAATGCGGAAATACTTCGATCACCGCATCTTTTCAGGATTCTGCAATGACCGTTAAATTGAACTGATTGTGATTTTTCTGTTAATCTAACCTCGCAAAAATGTCCATATAACGAAACGAATCGGTCAACGGGATCTCGCACTAACGTGAATTTCGTCACACGGCGTGGCTTTTTCCAAATTGTTTCCCCATCATCGGGAAACCATGCATTTGCCACACAAGCACTAAATTTGGCTTTTGTCGGGTATTTTGAATGACGGAAGAAGCCGCAGGCTTGTTTATTTTGACTTGGTCCTCCCAATGTGGACAAAAATTGAGCTACGATCGAAACTTCGTCGTTGATAGATTCTTGCTCAATTCTTGCCCAATTCTCACCATTGGGAAGTCAATTTAAAAGTTTAAACGTAACAAGTCATAAACTGGTACGAACTTTTCACCAGTTTGATTATCGGTGAATTCTTGGGTGAAATTCATTCCTCGATACTCTCGAAAGATGTCACAAAGGATTGATCCGGGTTATCGTGCTGCCAGTCTTTGGTATTTTGCAGTACTGTAGCCCGAAATGAGTGTCCACCTAAAAGTTGCGGAGAGTAGAGTAAGCTTACGCATAGAACCTCGAGAATGAGTCTTTTAGGTAATCCACTTTATAAAACGTGCCAACTTTCGAAAGTTACCTAACAGACCAACTTTTTGTATTTTTGTGAAAAAGTTTAACCAACCAAAGACTGAACCGATCCTTGGAGTGTTGGAAGATTCCCTAAAGCTCAAGATTCGGCAAATTAAGAGCATTGTTAGTTGTTTCTACTCTAACAAAAGTCAAACCAGCTAATTTTTAAGCTAGGTGCTAGGTGAGCGTATTGTTTGCTTTGTAAGTAATAAGTGAACAATAAACTCACTGAACCGTGTAGATTCCAAAAGCTGAACAAGTAGAATAAGAGCAAAGATTCGCATGATAAATAAATTGATGAAGATCAAGATTTCCCATGAGAGACGGTGGCTTTTGTAAGATCATCATTCAAACTGGGATCAGTGAGATCAAAAAAAAGCCAAAAGATGGACTGAAAGTTCGAAAGATGTTCCAATAGAACTTAAACTTGAATAAAAATCAGAAGTTGAGCGATGACTTAAGGAAAACTGCAAAAAAAATGCTAAAAAGCCATTTTGATGATTTCTTTGTGCTGGAACAGAAGATCACAAAAGAGCGAGTCGAGTGAGCGTTTCAAGTTCTTCAGGGAAATGGCGACTGAGACAGATCGGTTGGATTGGGTGCATTTTGAGTGTGATTACTGATAAAGCTGTTATTTAGCTATTTAGTTTTTAAAATTTTTGCAACAATGGGACAAAATGCTTTTTGTCACCACAAAATCCTATTTTTGCCCGAGTCTTTCTTTTTGTTCTTTGTCTTTGTTTGTCTTGTTTTCATTTGATATTCAATTGAAAGAACACTATCTAAAATGTGTTAGTTGTATACTTTTCTCCAGTTTAAGTACTTCTTAGATCCTCAACCCTCCAAAATTTTCAGATTTATTTCTCAACATAAACTTTAAATCCGTTTTTTGAAAAGTTCGGTTGTTACTAAAAGTAACAACCGAACTTTTCGATCTCTCTTTGAAAACTCTGTAAACCGATTTCCGACCTACACGATTTATTATAGAAGCGGCACAAAAATCGGTATGTGAGAGAGAATGATGACAACTGGATCGAAAAGATGACTCTGACACCAATAAAAAGCAGAAAAAAATCCAAATGAAGATCATTTGCGTGCAAAAGGTCAATTTGTAACTGAGAATCGCATTTGTGCTGATTTGAGCAGTAAGCAAGCTTGTGAAACAATCCAATTTGCAAAGCTAGATTTTCCGGTCGAAATGTGACTTAGACTTTTTTAGAGTAAAACTCTGCTCTAGAAAATGCACTAATCAATGCATTTTCTAAAAAGTGCGCTTTGAACTTATCATACCCTTTGCCTTCATATTTGCCACCTTTGATTGTAACTAAAAAGGCGGTAAATAGATCGTCACAAAGCGTTACACTTTTTAAAAATTAACTTTAAAAAAAAGTTGGCACCATTCATTCGAAAAATCAATGTACAAAAAAGTGAATCAAAGTTGAAGTCTTATTCGTTTTTGAAGGCGTAATCCATCTAAACAAATCAAATTGATATGAGGAATTACTGTAAAATTCACCATATCACAGAGCTTTTGACATCTTAAGCTGTCTCTGACCCATCTTCCATCGATGATCCTCATTCCTTTGGTTGTTGCTGTTCGATAGGCAAGTGAATGTTCAGCATACTCTCCTAAAGAATTTACCAAGATAAATACAATCAATGCTTCAAGAAGTTATAATATTTGCACCGATAATCATCCACCAAGCCATACTAATCAGAAACTCACTTTTCCCCATAACGACGAGACATTGTGCATTTGTTAAGCTTCGAGTAATTTCAACTTCTTTGTGAAAAGCGAAGCAAAATTCGGAACACAAGTCCTAAAAGATAATTTATAACAATATATAGATATATATAAATATAAAGTTCAGATAAAGAAAATAACGATGAACTCTTAAAAGTTTGTCATTTCTCCTTAATTGTTAAGCTTTCGATACTACCATTTAGCATTTTTGAAAGGAAATCGTTTAATTTATTTCAAAGGCTGAATAATAAAATGGTAGACATACCTCTTCATCAAAATCGGATAATCCACAAAAAAATACAACGGGCTTCGAAACATTCTAAAAACCCACACATTTAATGTTGCCAAATCAATCGTGACCTCAATATGTTGCAAATCCGCTGCTTCAACCATTTCCTCGTCATCATTGCTATTCTCCTTTACCCAAGACTTCAATTCATCAATGTTCTAAAAATGATTTATTGGCGAAATATTTTCAATAAAACCTTCTTTAAAGCCTCTTCTAACCCCGTTACGTTTGTGAATATGGAACGAAGTGTGATGGGCGCATCTCCATCTAAATAGTTCAATTTTCTAAACAAAAAGAATAGAAACCTGCTAACAAGCCATTTAAATCGATTGTGGTGTTTGAAGTTTCCAAAGTTTGGGTTTCACGCGAAACTTGCTTTAAATTCGCTTGAGTTGAGTCCTCAAAATTATCACCAATAGCTTTAATTCTTTTGAACTCAAAAGATCAAAAGAGCTGCTAGCATCAAAACCCGTAACTTACTTGGTACAACGCGTGCATCTTCCGTAGGAAAACAATCCCTTTGTTGTCTTGACTTCAATGGCGTACTTGGCTTGACTGGAGTAGTAGAATAGGGGCTTATCGTCTTTTCTTTTCGGCCAGAAGTCTTAACAAAGTTTTACATTAACAGAAACCAAAGTTCCTACTGCGTTTCCCTTTCGCGCTGGCGGTAAAACTTCCGGGCTGGGCGGTAAAAACGTCATCGTCATCGTCAACAAATTCGAGAGGTGTTAGAGGTTGCATTAATTGCTCCAGTGAATGGATCGGTATTTCTGTTAGTCGATCAGGTGTACGAGTTGGCATTTGTGTGAAGACCACCTAAAACCTTTATTCAGTATGTTTAAAAAATCCAACCTGGCTCTCCATGAAAGGATCTTCGAAAGTATGCTCGTATGTGGCCACTTCTTTCATAAACGTCTTCGCAAATTGCAGATATTTGTTAGTCCACGATTTCAAGTAGTCGACTTCAGCGTTTCTTCTGAAAAAGTTTTTGAATCAAAACTTTAATTCAGCATTCAGAATACTCCTTCTAGGTGCTAGTCGCCAATAGCTCTAAAATTTTTTTCCAAGATAAGTAGTACCATGTAGTAAGAGTTCTCGAACACTTTTTAGACTACACAATTCAATTTTAATAATCGCCAATAGCAATACTATACCTAGAAAATGTAAATGACTTAAAATATACCTCAAACAAAACAAACCTCGTATCTATCACAAACTTGCAAACAGGGCAATGTTTCGGCCCTTTCCCTTCTTTCATCCATCCATCAAAGCAAGGTCTAAACAAAACGAATAAATTAGTATAATAAAACTAAAACATACTTGCAAATTAGATGGTTACAAGTTGTTAGACATGGCTGCTGAGGGATTGAAAAACTAAAAATAGAATGATTTTGAAAACAAAAAACTCAAACTCACCAAATGTTGCACCGTAGCTCTTTTTGTACTTTGTGTCCTTGTTTGACGAGATCTTCTAACAAAGTCGAAATTGTTAAAGCGTCGGGCATCTGAAAATAGAAAAGTAATTAAATTTTTTAAAACACCATGTAAGGGAAAAGCTTTGAAGAACGAAAAATTCAACTTCTTACATTTAAAATGCGAATTTTCAAACTGTTTAGTGGTTTATTAGATAAAAATTATATTAAAAATGCATAATTTGCCTTCATATATTAACTTCAAAGCTCAAGAGGAAAGTTTAAAAAATGAAGAAACCAAGCAATTTCAAACTAAATACTGCGATGATTTGAAGATATTCAGTTGTAGCACTAAATCTTTAATGCATTTGTTGTCTTAAATAAAACCGACTTGTTTTTGGGCTTTTAATCAAAGCAGGTGGACTTTTTTTTCCTATTTGATCTGTCGTAACCGGTTCTTTTGTATTTGACGGCTTCCCGCCTTTGAAGGAGCAAAACGTACCACACCAAATAACCTTTTTAGAGTTCTTTGACACTACGATCTAGGTAACAAGAAGTTTCTGAAATGATCTTTGAAAAATTTTAACTTGCTGAAAGTACTCTAATCGATTTCCCTTTCAAATTTCAAAGACCATCTCATTCTTGTGATCAAAAGCTTCAAAGATCACGCTAGACTTCGACATCAAATTTCACCTTGTATCATTTTGTGACTTGTCACAATGCAAAAAAGTCCAGAGATGATTGATCGAGTCGTTTCCCATTGAAGAAACTGACAAAGATGGCGTAAAAACTGAAAGTTTTTGGTGATTTGATTGACCTTCACGCTGCTCTTTGATAAGAGCAAAAGTGTGGGGAAAATGCGGTCATGATTGCGCACAGAATTGTGAAAAGTTTTAGAACTTACCGTATCTTTTTAACAGAAGATTGCCTATTGGTTAAACTACAGATTATTTTGAAAATGAGGTTGTTGATAGTGAGATCCAAAAAGCTAGTAAATATTTTTGTTTGTTAGTTGTATGTAGCCAATTTTGCCTTTATAAAGCACCATACTTTTTCATGGAAAAGTCAAAAAGCGATAGGGGGCACCAAAATTTCAATGATTTTGTGCGGTACTTGCACTCTTTGACTCTTTGTGAAGATTCTTAATTAGCAAATGGTTGATCTTGTATTTTATTTTCATACCAAAAATATCAAAGAAAGGAGAAAGGATTCACTGAAAGCCAAAGAAAGAGAAAATTTGTGAAAAAGCGCTGTATTTAAAAAGTCCATTTATTCTTAATCAGAATCCTTTCTTGGTCGAGTGCCCTCTAATCCCAAAAATTGAATAAAAACGGTTGCAAGAATGTTTCTGAAAAGAATCCATGTATTCCATCCGGTCCATGGTTCATTTTTCCATATCGTGTCACATCTTTGCAATGAATGGCCGGATCGGTCAGAATGACAATCGTTTTTCCCGTTGAAATCTCTTGCTGATGATTCCTCCAAGTCAACAACCATCAGAAAGCCTTTTGTTACCTGAAGTTGTTCATCAAATTATGGTTTTATGCCTTTTAGAAATCTGTTTTTAGACAAATCTATAAATTTATTATATGAAAATTAGCTAATAGTCATTTATTAAATTAAAAATCCAATATATTCTGTTATAAAAACCTGTTTTACTACGAAAACAGTAAATTTGATAGTACTATTGTTCTATAAGTTTTTTCTACATCTAATCATAAATTGTCTTGAATATCTACTATATATAAATGGACTCAAGACGTCCGTCTGTCTGTGCGCGCTACTCCTCAGCCCCAGAGGGCCGTTTGCAATGATTTTTGGGCCGTTGAATAGAGAATTACATGTAGTTGTGCAACGTGCTTTTGGATTTTAAAAAGCACAACTGCGTCGCACGGGGAGGTCGAACCCGGATCGTATGGGCGATAGACCGGCTCCATCGGTTTCACGGCGGCAAAAGCCGCTCATCCTCAAAACATCCGAAAAACCCGCCGTTAGGCGGGTTTCTCGGTTGGTCAACGATAAATCTTAATAATCAATGATCCAAAGTCGACCTTATAAGTCCAATGTGAGAAATAATCTGATGGACAAGATCAACGGAAACACCCAATTCTATGGCTTTCTTCTCGGTGAGTTCTGTAAAGTGAAGAAAGTTCATTGTTTACTGGGACCAAGGGTCAATTGTTTTTTTTGTCATTCCAAGAAACCAACCGTAGAAAGCATTATTGGTGAATCGAACGAATTTATCGGTTTCTGCAAATCGTCTCTCGCATGACATGAAACGTTCTCCTGAAATGGAAGTAAAAATTAATCTATTTTTTTTATTTTCTCACCTTTATCAGATCCAATGAAAATCGTCTTAATCTTGAGAAATTTCAAAACAACAGCTGTACCCAACTTTTCTTGTAATTCTTGACTGAATTTTAGCGCCAAATACGAGGCGATCGTTTGTATTTGATTCGATAATTCGTATCGTTTTGCGGAGTTCATTCCTTTTCCCAAATGAAGATATTCTTTCAATACAATTTTCTCATTTTTCTGCTTTAATTCCAGGCTTTTGTCTTCTTCTTTTCATCAACGAAAGTCGAGAGATCCAATCCATAAAATGCGACTCTTTCAGCTCCTTTCGAAAATGGATTCCCTGCCACTTTCACCGTTGCAGTTTTTGATTGTCTTCTATTCAGTGGAACATCATCTATAACATCTTTGATGCTATCTGGAAAGTCATAGGACATAAATTTTCCCTCTTCTCTGGCAAAACTCCCAATTTGGTTTCACTTATCAAATTTCTATTCCCGTTCTTTCGTGGAATTCCTGAACTTGCTTTACTTGAAGAGATCGATGCTGAGACAGATACAGAGACAGCTGTGATCACTGATTCTCTGATATCGTCAACTCTTTTCACGTCAAACTCCACTATCTTTCTCCATAGACTTCCGAAAACTTCTTATCATTAGATCTGTATAGTTGATGATCTTTCCGAAATGATATTGAATCCCCATTGCTTTGAGTTTCATAAAAAGGTCTCGATGGTTTCTTCCATTTGGATCTCCATATGGATAGCGATCATTCATTTTGTCAATTAAATCGTTATGGAAATCATTTCCAGTGACATGGTGAATCACAAATATGAAAGATCACCTTTGTTCCGGCATTCTCAGACCAGTTTAAATTTAATGCATGCTCCAGTCCACCAAAAACATCTTCCGGCGGATCATAACCAGCTATTGCCTCAATTCCCAAGCAAAAGTTTTGAAATTTCCAAAGTGGAACTCGTAAACGGCAAAACTTCAAATTGATTGAGATCGCCGAAATCTCTGTAAGCGATAAAAGCGAGCTGCAGATTTTGCACTTCTGGAGTTTCTTTCTTGCTTCCGGAAAAGACACATGCAGCCCAGAATCGGTGAGTTTCGACGATTTTTTGAATTGATCTTTGACTCCTTGAATATGGGGTCCCATCGACCCAGTTGAATCCACCAAAAGCAGAGCTCAACATTTCGAGCGCGTCGAATTGATCGAAAAACCTCGGCCACCCGTTCTTTCGTAACTCTGGTGGCGGTCTAAAGTGACATAATCCAATAATTTTTTGTTCTCCCAATTCTTCTGATTTTCAATTTTCAAGCTGATATTTCAAACCAACACTAAATCGATCGACAATCGTCTCTTCATCGTCATCCACGTCACCATAATCAAGTCCCTCGTCTTCATAAATTGCTTTGAGACGTTTCGTCAAATGTTTCATCGCTGATGAGCTCTAAAAAGAATTATAAGATTAGAATCTTCTAAAACTTTTCTTCATTTTACTCACTTTTGACTCTGAAGAGCTCTCCTTTTTCTTCTTTTCTCTTCACTTCTTTCCCTTGTCCATTCCGAATCCCTCTTCTTCGATTCCTCATCCACCCATGATACCACTGAATCAGCCATTGGAACTAAAATTGACATAGTCTTTCTAGAAACAACAAAGGATATAAAGTGATAATTTTTAGGTAAATTTTGAAAAAAAGCATAATTTCACAGGTTTACATATAAATTTTTTCAAAATAAATTTCTCGATTTGCAAGTCAATACTGTCACTTTATCGTAAAAAGGGAAAAATTTTCTCGTGGAATTCAACGGAAAGCTTATTTAGCGATAGCCTCTTTATCGGCCTGTTTCTTTTGAAAAATTCTCCAAACGTTGAAAAGTCTCAAAAAGCCAAAACTTCAAGTTCTGAGTATTTACAAGGCAATATTTTCTGCAAAGTGGTGAAAAGTCTACAAAAATGGATTTTCATACTTAGTGAGTTTCAAAAACTCTGCTTACGAGAGGAAACTAGTTTTTTCCTTTATTATCGAACGCCCAAAAGAGAAAAGACAGCTGAAAAGCGAGAGTTTCAGAGAAAACGAAAGCGTTTTTGAGTTTTTTTTTCAGAAAAGAAGAAGACAAAAAGCCTGGAATTCAAGCAGAAAATGAGAAAATTGCATTGAAAGAATATCTTCATTTGGGAAAAGGAATGAACTCCGCAAAACGATACGAATTATCGAATTAATTTTTACTTCCATTTCAGGAGAACTTTTCATGTCATCCGAGAGACGGTTTGCAGAAACCGATAAATTCGTTCGATTCACCAATAATGCTTTCTACGGTTGGCTTCTTGAATGACAAAAGACAATTGACCCTTGGTCTAGTAAACAATGAACTTTCTTCACTTTTCAGAGCTCACCGAGAAGAAAGCAATCGAATTGGGTGTTTCCGTTGATCTTGCCCATCAGATCATGGCTTTCTCACATTGGACTTACAAGGCCGACTTTGGATAACTTGAATATTAAGATTTATCTTTGACCAACCAAGAAACCAGCCTAACGGCGGGCTTTCTGGATGTTTTGAGATGGGCGGCTTTTGCCGCCGTGGAACCGTGGAGCCGGTCTATCGCCCATACGATCCGGGTTCGACCCTCCCCGTGCGACGCGAATTAAGCTTTTAAAAATCCAAAAGCACGCTGTACAACCACATGTAATTCTCTATTCAACGGGGCAAAAATCACGGCAAAAGATCCTCTGGAGGCTGAGGAGTAGCACGCACAGACAGACAGACGTCTTAGTCCCTTTATACAGGGTGCGCCAAAAGTTCCCGTACTTGGATTTTCTGCATTTTTGGTAATGTTAGATAAAAGATACAATTTTAACAGTAAGAAATTTGAATTCCTCGCGAAAAACTGATTTAGAAAACGTTTCTGGTTAATTTATAAGTGCAACACTATTTAAGACAAGTGATTGAGAAGAGGGTCCGCTCAAGGGCGCTTTGGTCGCACATTTTTTTGAGGGGCTTCAGGCCTGTAACTTTTATGGATCAAAAGATTTTCAAGGGCCAAGATGTTTTTCGAAAACTAGACATAAAATATGACATTTTTATATTGGGTGTTAAAGTTTTGGTCAACGACCGAGTCGGAAGTCAGGTTAGAACTTGTTTTCCCATAGAAATTTCCATCAAAGGAAATAACTGTGCCCTGTAACTGTGTGACCCAAGCATCCCTTTCTGATGGTTGTTGACTTGAGGGAATCATCAGCAAAGAGATTTCAACGGGAAAACGATTGTCATTCTGACCGATCCGGCCATTCATTGCAAAGATTTGACACGATATGGAAAAATGAACCATGGACCCGATGGAATAAGTGGATTCTTTTCGAAACATTCTTGCAATCGTTTTTGTTCAAATTTGGGATTAGAGGGCACTCGACCAAGAAAGGATTCTGATTAAGAACAAATGGACTTTTTAAATATAGCATTTTTTCACAAATTTTCTTTTTTGCTTTCAGTGAATCCTTTCTCCTTTCTTTGATATTTTTGGTATGAAAAATAAAAATACAAGATCAACCATTTGCTAATTAAGAATCTTCACAAAGAGTCAAAAGTCCAAGTACCGTACAAAATCATTGAAATTTTGTATTTTTGATGAGTATAATTCGCCAAGCTTTTTGTTAAAAACCAAGAAAACGTCACTCAGAGAAAACAACTGGATAGATTGATTTAAAAATTTCAGTGTAGACGTAATTAAACATTCTAAATCTAAACATTTTTATTTGAACACCAAAGTAAGTTTTTTGATGGAAATCTTAAATGACCAACTCTCCATCAGCCCATTTTGGCTGCTTAAGTTCGATCATTTCACTTAGCCATAGGTAGTTGATCAAATTTTGTAGAATTGAACACACGAGAAAACGAAAAGTTTATTGAAACTCTTATCAATAAAATGAATCAAACTATTAAAAAATCCATTTCATCACAGACTGTCTTATTTCCAATCATTTCCGACCTTGATCAGATGATGGTTCGATGTCTATTCCTTTTGTATTGCTTTCGTATTTGGTCTGGTGATGAGAAGTCGTAATCGTTTGAGTTGTACCAGTCTGTAAAAGTTGGAAATGAAATTTAATTCGAAATTTTGAATTTCTTGAATTTATTATGTGTACAGGGTACCCAAAAAATCCACTTTGGGTCAAATTTTAAAAATATTTTCGGTGGCTCAAAGCGGTAGGGATGGTGCAAAAAGTGATTTTTCGAGCTCGGGAAATTTCGATTTTTTTCATGATTTTCACCATATACAAAAAATTTCCCATACCACCATGGTCACCACCACCATACGGGCCACCACCATCAGATTTTTGCCATAAAATTAAAATCTTCTACTGGCATCATGGTATCATATTAGAGTTAATAGATAAAATAAAATTTTTAGCCAAACGCTTTATTCATCTATATTAGATGGTAATCTGTCGTACATAAGAGATTTTCAACTCGCCTTTTTAAAGAAGTGTCCTGTTTTTCCAAGGAGACGCTTGATCAATAAAGTGTATGGTTTTAAACTTGTAGTTATCCTGATAGTGGATAGCTGTTTCTATTATACACCACGTTTATTGTCAGTAAAGAGTTTTAATTTTATGGCACAAACCTGATGGTAATGGCCCGTATGGTGGTGGTGACCATGGTGGTATGATTTTTCTCAAGAAATTTCAAGAAAATACAATCCTGAAACGCGCTTCAAAATGTCTCAAAACCTTTTAGGATATTCAGCCAAAAACACTTTTCTTGCAAAGAAAGAATGATTTTTTAAGATACAAAATAAAAAGCTAAATGGGAATTAAAGACCAAGAAATATAAAACTGATTGTCGAATTATTAAATGTAAATTAAAAGGGTGGAAGCTAGGCTAACGGTAGCTTTTTCATAAATAGCACTTTTTAGAAACCTAAATTTCTTGGGAGAAGAACACCGTCTAGTCTGAACTCTCCACCACTCAATTTGTTGCTGTCATTTCCAGTACTCCCACCCGCATCCGGATCCCTCTTGATTCGACACCACCTCATCTCACAGAGAAAATTCTAAAAACGTATCTACTTCCTTTTACATAAATATAATAAATAAATAAAGCAATTATTGGTACAGAACATAACCTACAACAAATGGATATTCCCTACTATGATAAATAGGCCAGTTGCTACCCTCCGGCGTTGGCATCTTTTACCAAACGGGTACTCGGTATAGAATATATTAGTCTACATGAAACTACGTAAAAACTACGTAAAAAAGAGTTGCAAATTCTCTTGCTCAATCCGTTGTCTAAATCGCATAACTAATATACACGGGCAGGAAAACAGAAAAACCTTCTCGCTTAGAATAAAGAAACTGATTTGACCTTAAAATTAGAAAAATTAGAAAATTTCTGTGATAAACGTAAAAATGAAAAAGAGATAAAGTGTTTTACTAGAAATTTCATTCACTGCCACAATTCTTTTGAAGCGGCATTTATATATGAAAAACCCCACCAAAATTATGTAGTACAAGATAATCTAAAGAGGAAACCAATTTATTTTTTGTGTGATAACAGCCCTTTAGGCGGCATAAACTCTTTCAAATTGTGGCACAATCTTTTTCAAATTGTGGCATGATCTTTTCAAATTGTGGGTACAATCTTTTCTGACCTCACCAATGAAGCCTAAAAATTCTTTCACAAACAACCATATGCTTTTGACGACAATGCGGCGGCTTTTTGTAAACTCTATATTTTTATGTTTTTAGCGATTTCACATATAAATTTTATTTCAAATTTCGAGCCTTATAATTGCTAAAAGCTTAAAAATTAGAAAAATAAAATAGTATCAGCAAAAATCAGTTTGGAACCAGAAAGTCTGTCAGAAAGAATGGGAAGTGCTTTTCTTGAAAAATCCTTTTTTTCTCTGGGACATCCTGTATATTTTAGACTAACACTGAGATCAACAACGAAAAGACATAAACAAAAAGAAAAAAATTCTTAAATCTCTCAAAGTTCATTTGCCAGCAATCGAGTACTCGTATTGATGGCTGCCAAACGAGCTCGTAGACAGAGAATTTTTCGCTTCTTCCGCCCGAATCGTCGTCAGTTTGAAATGCCGATCGAAAGCCTGAATTTCCTCATTTTGCTGATAACTTGACGGATGATCGAGTAAAATCACATCAATTTTTGAGCTTCATCAAAGCAATGTAGGAAGAGGGAAAATTCGGAATGAAACGACTAAGCGGATCGTTTTGAGAGACCCTTTCACTGGAAATTCGAGATCACGAAAAGAACTTTCGCAAGTCGTTTTCTCGAAATTTTCCCGCCCTCTTCCCAAACCATTTCGAAAACCGTTTCCGTCCTATCCACCAAAACACCAATAAATCGTTTGTAAAGAGTCAAAAATTGTCAAAAACGAAACCTGGTGCATCGGTTTGCGCATTTCAGGAGCAGTGGGAATTCTTTAAGCTTCATAGATTTTTTGCAATTCTTTTCATCAACGGTGATCGTGTTAACTACAGCACATTTCGGCTTGTTGATGCATATGTGAATCGGTGGACGTTTCCATTTGAAAACGTATCGTATATCAAAGCTATGAGTGCGTTGCCAGAGTTGAAAGGGTTTCCTGACGGCATGTTCACTAATGTCAATTCTTTATATTTTACTGTGAACAGTGTTTCGAGCTTTTGGATCAATCACCGATCGACAGCGTCGATCACCCCACTGATGTCAAGCGGTTCATCGCCCAGAAGCCGCATCCGGAACAGCTTCGTCGATTTTTTGGTTTATCATCAAACAAAGATCCTTCCAGCGGGATGAATTTCCGTCCTCTAGTCGTTGAAACTCGTAGGTCTCTCAGGAAACAGCCATTCCTCTTAAGGTTTCTGGCAGAAAATAGCATTTTAGGTGAATTCGGCGAACGTAAAACCTTTTGATGATTTTGAGCTCATCGAGCAGAAAGTTGAGTTCGGTGAAAATGTGAAGAGTTTTTCTGGATCTGAGCCTTTCCAGATTTTTATAAGCCTCTCTGGTAAAGTGTGAGCTGGATGGAAATGATCCCAAAAGAGGATTTCCTCAAAATAGTCATTAGATTTTTGTGGTCGCGATGCACGGATCAATTTATCCTTAACGTGAGTGCTAAAGTTTTGGTGATAATCAATAAATTTCCTGTAGTGAGTTTCTATGATTTTGGGACGTTCCTGACAAAATCCTCCCTTTCTTCTGTTGAGATTTCTTGGAACTTTCCTTTGAATTCGTTTTCGTGGATAGATGAAATACTCTCTGGCTCAAATCCTCTGAGAGTTTAACCGATTCCAAAACTTATCACCGATCGAGATCTCTTTTGAGAGTGATCATTTTGGATTAAATTTTTCGTTTTATCGGAAAAGGTAGACTGGATAAAGAACCAATCTCCAAACTCTCAACGGGTTTTGTATAGATAGGAATCTTGTTGCTTTTGATCCATCGAAGCCGACTTATCGGATCGCACAATATCCAGTTGTAAGTTCATCGGGTATGGACGGGAAATCAAGTGACTCATCAACGAAGGATCTTCCTGAATTCAAATTTTTAAATTTTGGTAAAATATATGGAGCTTATAAATTTTTAACTATTCAAAACATAACCAAAATATGTTGAGATGGTTCTCTTAGAAAAACATCTCCTTTCTTTAGTTCAACCTTTTCAAGATGAAATAGCTTTTTCTATTTGAGTCATCGATACCCCAAGAAATTAAAGCATCAAAACATCCCTATAAACAAAAAGTTTAATTTTTTTCAAAATAGCGAACATGATTTTTAACTTACCAAAAACATCTTCAAATCTCTTATGGCTTCCGTCGTAGTGGGAATCGATTTTCATATTCGAATCCGGTACACCTGAAAACTGTAGAATCACTTGAAGGAAACTCAGCTGCTCACTTAACAACAAATTGTTGAAAATTCTAACACATTCGGGAGGTGTCGGTCCTGTTCCTGTTCGTGTTTTCATGACTACATCCAACCAGAAAGCCGACTGATCAAACGTGTCGACTCCTTGAATCGTTTTGGTGTATTCCCGAGAGGACGGCTCTGAAACTAATATTTTTCTTCTAATAACCAATAGATAGGTGTAAAGCCATGGAGTTCGGGATTCAAGCTTTGATTCAGAACTAATATGATTCTTGGAAGCATTTAACGTCTAGTTTCCAAATCTCAGACCCACAGAAGCTATAGTTGTAGATTTTGTGTGCCCCGACGTCCGGGATAATGTACCCCAGCAACCCACACAACTATGGTATTTAGTACTTTACATTACAGGGTGGCGCACAATTTATGGAAACTTGATTTTTCGACTGTAACTCGACGTCCAATTATTGAATTTGCCTAGTTTTATATGAAATTTCAAATTCTCATTTTCAATTTTTTTCGTTCAGAAACACAGTGGTACATTCTTTAGAGTTCAGGAGGTGCCAACCTCTCAGCAGAATCATCGTTTTCGATAAGCTTCTACCCTCAAGAATTGGCCCCAAATCAACTAATTTTTTTTAGTTTTTCCAATCCTCAGTTAATAAATTTAGACAAATATCACAAAATAAATGCATTAACTTTGCAAGACAGCAGATCAGGAATGATTTGGGGAGTTCCCATGCAGATCGCTGCTCTGCTCTGCTTTCAGGGAATTCAACTATTGGCTTTCAAAATTTTGAAATTATTGAAAATCTTCTGATGTGAAATGCTCCAGATAAGTTTATTTCTTAATAAAGCAAAAATGAGTAAATACAAAGCGGGAAATTCTTCAAAATAGGTGCAAATCCTGCTAAAAACGATTCTGTCGAGAGGTTGGCACCCTGGAACTTCGGAAATACTGTAAAAAGCGTAACACTGTGTTTCTGAATTAAAAATTGAAATTGGCGGCAATCAATTAACTCATAATTTCACATAAATATGAAATTAGGGGAATTGAATAATAGACGTAGAGTTACAGACGAAAAACCGAGTTTCCATAATCCTGCCGCAATTCCAGTCAAAAAGAAAGTGAAAAATTTTCTGCTTTTAGCGTGAATGGTAGGAAGTTAATAGTTGTTCGTAGGTATTCCGCTTGCAAGTCTGGTTTGGTTTCAATGTTCAATCATTTAATCATTTACTGTCCAAATGAAATCGACAATAGAGGCGTCAATATCAATTTTGGCCTATCTAAAAGTATAGACTGTCCTGAAAAAGAATTAAGTTTGCGTCGAATTTCCTCAAAATCTATAGTGGCTCTTGGTGGCCACTCTGGCGCCAAGAGCCACTATAGAGCCACTATAGATTTTTAGGAAATTCGAGGCAAACTTAATTTTTTTTTGGATACCCTATATATACAACTCACTGTAACAACTCACCTTCTCTCTAGCATCTCCCAAACGACAAGTCCGGCACCATAAACATCATTTCGGTGAGAAATCTATAGCAAATGATTTTCTTGCAATTTAAGGGTTATCCTAATTTGATATTCGGCTTGAGGAAGATCTGAAGAAGAAAGATTTGTGGATTGGTTGGTGCTTGGTGGGCTCATGTACCGGGGAGTGCCTGTCTCATCCATGCATCCAATCGTTCTCTCCACAAAACGATGACATCCAAAATCACCCAGTTTCAGCACAAAGTTTTTTGTGAGAAAGATACTAAACGATAATTTTGTCACTTTTATTTTTAAACGGTAATACATTTCCATAAAGCTCTCTAGGCATATTCAAACGTTCAACGAAGATAGGTTTGTCCTGAAAAAGCTAATAAAAAAAAATTACTTGTGAGGTTTCAAATCTCGATGAACAATGTGCTTTCCTTTGAGGTAATTAAGCGCTTCAAAGAGTTGAGATGTCCAGGTGACGACCGTTGTTACTGTGTAGATCACTTTTGGGTTGTTGATCACTGAATTTTTCTTGTTAGTAAACATTTTTTAAGTCGTTAAGGGCATATAAAACTTAAACAAACATAAAATTTTGAAATTGAAAAACATTTTCAATCAGTTACTTTTGATCTCAAATACAAAAGGATTTACAGCCTTGACACTCCTTGAATGGCACGATAAAGGAAAAGTATTTATTATCAAAAACCACCTTCGTAAAGTGATCCACTTTCACAGAATTCCATCACAATTCCCAGCTCGCTACTCTTTTTTTGTTCCGAAATAAGTGACAATATTCGGGTGACTGAGTCCTTCCAAAATCTCCTTTTCTTTCACGGCCAGCTCATGTTTTGTGTATTTCACTATGTATTTTCTAAAAACTTTGAATTTACATGCAGAAAAAGGCCCTTTGCCACCTCTTTTTCCCGTCTAATCGATAGATACTCGATAGGGGGCATGTCACGAAAAGCCACTCCACAAAATCGGGACTCTCTTCAGGAAAATCCATTACCCAATCTAGAAGTAATTTGAAAACTAGTAGAAATAAAAAAATTAAGTAAAAGAACCAGAACTGCTTGGCATTTGGTATAAGCTACATTTCGATAATTAAGATTGGCCCAGTTGACCCAAAGATCAATTATGAAAAATAGCCAAAACAAAATTAAAATGTTGATGCGAAAAATAGCTAAAAACTCGAATGCACACATTGTGGTTTTGGTTATGCAATAAAAAGGCAAACGCAACTTTCTCTACTTCTCTTCCTGTTTCTTTTGCCTATTCCCTACATTTTGGCTGGACGAAAAATGCCTTTTTGAATGGATCGATAAAAATTTTTAGAGAGATTTTAACGATCTTTGAAAATAGACAATAATGACAAGTCGAAAAAACACGAGGGGGCACCCGGGTTTGAACCGGGAACCCCTCAGCAGTCGAATGCTCTACCACTGAGCTATACCCCCGCCGTGTGACCTAGTTTTCAGCCGCGTTTTTCACTTTCAGCGCCTGTATTTCGAAACAGTCCAAAAGCCAAAGCGTAAATTTTTATTATGAAACAAAATAAAGTTTA